CCCCACCCTGATCTAGGACACCCTTCAGGGCAAACCAGCTGGTCTCCACACAACTGCCCCCCCCCCCCCCCCCGTGCACCAGGTCTCTATCCTACCTAATAAAAGAATAATATGCAAATTGACCATCACTCCAACACACAAGATCAAGATAGCTGCCCGTATGCGGTCAAAGATCCTGCCCCCATGTGGACACAAGATGGCCACCATAAGATGGCCAGCAGGGGAGGGCAGTTGAGAGGGACCAGGCCTGCAAGGGAAGGCAGTTGGAGGTGATCAGCCCTGCAGGGGAGGGCAGTTAGGGGCAAACAGGCTGGCAGGGGAATGGTTAGAGGGTGATCAGGCTGACAGGCAGAAGCTGTTAAGGGCAATCAGGAAAGAAGGCAGGCAGGCGAGCAGTTGGGAGCCAGCTGTCCTAAATTGTGAGAGGGCAGTTGGACATCCCTTGAGGGGTCCAGATTGGAGAGGGTGCAGGCTGGGCTGAGGGATATATCCCCTCACCCCCCATGCACGGGCCTCTAGTATTGAAGTAACTATGTATGGTGTCAGATGGCTTATTAGACTTACCAGGGTAATCACTTCATAAGTCATGTAATGACTAATCATCTAAAACTAATATAATATTGTCAACATAATTAAAAAATGTTTTAAATTAAAAGAAAAAAATATTCAGAATCCAAATTAAATACCATTCCAATAAAAATAATTTTTGAAGCAGGCAAGTTGATTCCAAAGTTTATATGGAAAAACTAAAGTGAAACTAGTTAGGAAAATTCTATAAAGTAAATGGTGACCACATCAAATACTAAGGCTTATTATAAATCTATAATTAAAGCAATATGGCAGCAGTGCTTAAATAGATTAATAAGATAGAAGAGAAACTCAATAATAGACTCAAATACATTTGGAAATTATGTCATCAATAAAGAATTTTGAGCTTTTTACCAGCATTTGGCATGTAGGTGTGAACACACACACAGATCCTGTCTTTATGTAGCTATCAGTCTGAGATAATATGAAGGTAGCATTTCAAATTAGCAGTCAATCCCCGCTTATCTGTGGTTACACTTTTCACAGTTTTAGTTACTTAAAGTCAACCATGATCCAATTCTGCTATCAAGAATTCTCACTGCCCTGGCCAATTGGTTACAGCAGAGTCTGAATAGGCCAAGATTGTGGGTTCAATCCTTGATCAGGGCACATATAAGAATCAACCAATGAATGCTTAAATAAGTGGAACAACAAATTGATGTTTCTCATCCTTTCTCTCAAATCAATAATTAAAAAAAAAAGATCTTAAATCATGAATAACATCTTCATAGCTTGATGATCTAGGATCTCCCCAAGCAGATGATTCTCCTTCTCATAAGATCTCACAGTTTTAGGCTATATCTTATCAGATATACTACTCTCACCCACTACTGATAGGCCTTGAAACAGAAGCAAACTTTGGGGAAGGGATGTTTGCAATAGCTATCAAATAAAAAATGAGCAAACCCTTTGATGACATGGAAAATTACCCAAATTTGTTAGATTAAAAGTAAGTGTATAACTCCAGAGAAAATTATATTTTAAACTATCATAGTGCTATCCAAACATTTTTAGTATTTAAAATAAATTTTAGCATTCACTCTCAAAATGTTTAGCTATTTATAAATGATATACATATTCTACCTACATCATTCACCTCACTTCATTTCATCATGTCGGCATTTCATCATCTCATATCATCACAAGAAGAGTGAATACAACAGATATTTCCAGAAAGAAAGACCCCATTAGCATAACTTTTATTACAGCATACTGTTATAACTGTTCTATTTTATTATTAGTTATTGCTGTTAATCTCTTACTGTGCCTAATTGATACAATAAACTTTATCACAGTTATTATAGGAAAAGTTATAGTATATACAGGGTTTTGTAATACCACTGTTCCAGGCATTCACTGGGGGTTTTGGAATGTATTCCCTGCAGATAAGGGGGAACTACAGTAGCAAATTTGGGGGAAAAACAAACAAACCTGTGTTAGTATAAGTGGCTAGTTGGGGATGGCTTAGATTCATACTTGGATGGAGCTAGTAATAACTTTTCTTAAAAGCTATTTCTGTATTTATTTGATAAAAGTTTAAAAATAAACTCATGAAAAGAAAACCTAAAAGAATTCATTTTTTTGGTAACAGTGGAGAGAAAAATATTTTCTAGAAATAAAACAATCTACAGGGACCATTAACAAACAAAAAAAACCCAGGCCATTTTGACTTTAAAATATTAAAGTTTTTTAAATTGCATTAATTACATAAATATCAAAATGCACAAGGTCAATTAAGGGAAAATATTTGTAATATATTGCCTGGCTGGCATGGCTTAGTGGTTGAGTGACAACCTATGAACCAAGAGGTCCCAGTTTGATTTCCGGTCAGGGCATATGCCTGGATTTTGGGCTTGATTTCCAGTAAAGGGTATGTAGGAGTCAGCCAATCAATGATTCTCTCATCACTGATGTTTTTATCTCTTCCTCCGTCTCTCTTCCTCTCTGAAAAAAAAAATTGCAATATATAACCCAAAATGCTAATTTTATTAACATATAAATAGCTCTGATACATGAATTAGAAAATATACACAACAGTGGAAAAAATGAAACCATGAACATGATCAAACAGCTCACAGAAAAATCCACTGCTTACAAACAAAGGTAGCCTACATAATTCATAACTAAGAAGATAAAATGTAGGAAAATTACTCTCACACACTACTGGTAGGCCTTGAAACAGAAGCAAACTTTGGGGAAAGGATGTTTGCAATAGCTATCAAATAAAAAATGAGCAGACCCTTTGCTGAAATGGAAAATTACCTCAACTTGTTAAATTAACAGTAAGTGTATAACTCTGGAGAAAATTATATTTTAAACTAGTGCTGTCCAAACTTTTTTTAGTATTTAAGATAATTTTTAGCATTCACTCTCAAAATGTTTAGCTATTTATAAATGATATACATATTCTACTAAACTGAAATCTACATAATAACACATCCTCCAAAAATGAAGTTCTAAAGATTTCAGAAGGCTTAAAAACCTGAAGTTTATTCAGGTCAATAAATTCTTTTGACCTGCCTTCAAAGAATTTATTGACAGCAAATTTGGCCTGAACTGACACAAGACTATTTATAATAGTCTTTGTTTATCCAGGTTGCACATTTAGTTGTTTGATGATGCTTCCCAACCTCCAAACACACATCAAGGGAGGTATTAGGTAAGGTACGGCATGTGTATAAATGAACATAAATGCAAACTCTTTCAGACTGTGTGAAATCTGCCAGGCCTCAAGAGTTTTGGATAAAAGATTGTGGATGGTAACCTTTCCCTGAAGACTTCACAAAGCAGGTGGTAAGTACTTGCTGAATAACACACTCTGATTCATTCTTATGACCATCAATTATTTGCCTGTAGGGCCTATAAAAGTGTTGAGGCTATCTGCCTGGTACACTGTCATTTGAATTCTTCTACCTGACTTTTATAGTTTGGTTTTGTTTAGTCTTCTGTCTTCTTATAAAGGCCACAAGCTATAATTTCTGGGATTGGTATCCCTACTTACATCAGCTCCATTCGCTTTTCCGCCACCACAGGCCTAGATAATTCAGCATAGATAAAGGAAACAAACTGGCTTTGAATGAAGTCTTAAGGCCTTTGAGTGAGTCCAGGTGTGACACTTATTTTGGCTGCTTACTGGGCCTACTTCCTGTTTCTCAATGTTTAGGAACAAATCACCAGAAAATTATGTTATTATTTTATTATATGCATGTATAAGAGAAATATTTACATTTCAAGTTAAGAGTAATTTTTGTAATTAAGCACTACGGAAATAAACTCCCTTTCCTCTGGGCAGTGGTTTTTGTCTTTTGTGTAGGGCTAATTCCCAATGCCTAGAATCAAGGTCCTATTTGTTGAGGAAATATTGAATGTGTAGATAAGGTTGCGTTGAAAAGATGCTGTGAGATGTCAGAATTAAAGGCAGATGAAGGGTCCCGGCCTGTGGCTCAGTTAGTTGAGCATCATCTAGTGTTCAGAAAGGTCAATAGTTTATTCCCTGTCAGGGCACATGCCTGGGTTTTCAGCTGGATCCCCAGTAGGGGGCCCGCAGGAGGCAGGCAAACAATGTTTCTCACAGATGTTTCTCTTTCCCTTCCTGTCTCTAAAATCAAATTAATAAAACAACAACACACATTAAAGGAAGAACTAGCTTTAAAGGAAGAACTAGCTTTTAAATGATAACATGCAGAGACCTAATAATAGTTCGGTGGATAACTCTTCAAGGATGGGTAGAAAACGGTCAGTATAACAGCAGCTTATAATGTGCCTTAACTTACTTCCAGTTAAGGCACATTATAAAAGGAAAGTCATTTTTTAAACTAAATGTCATTTAAAAAGGTCTAGACTCAGCACACGTCCCCTCCATGGCATCTACCAGAAGTGCCCTGGAGGAAAGTACGGAAACATTCCTCCATACGGGAAAACACTGTGAGCATGCCTGGGAAGTGAAGTGGCCAGTTCTTTACAGTTATGAACACAAGCAAGAGCGAAGAGAATTTTGATTGAGGGCAATCAGTGAGGTCTGCGCAAGCGCCCCCAAAGAGTTCCCAGAACAAAGTTGTGATGGACCCCTTTGAATGCGCCACTGTATCAAACTCAAGGACTTTGGGGGCTGGAGGGGGAGAGGGGGCAAGATTGGAAGGAAGCAGGGATGTTTCGGGGTGTCAGTGGGAATGAAGAGCAGTGCCAGATGAGAGGGGCGCTGTGGGCGAACCCGGCCCAGGTGGGGGTTCTGAAGACCCGCGGGGCCAGAAAGTGAGCGCGAGGGGGTCTGGGAGGAGGAAAGGACCGCACAGTCCTGAAGGGGGTGGGCGGCGCGGCTCCGCCAGTTCCCGGCCGGGCCTGGCCCGGGGAGGCCGGACGGATGGAGGCTGGGCTACAAGCAAGCCGGCCGGGTCGGCGAGCCACGTTCCTACCGGTCCGCACGCGTCCGGCCGCAGGTCCTGGAAGTCGGCGCCATAGATGGCCTCCAGGGCCTGCAGCTCGTGCTCCTGTCGCTGTGGGTAGCTGTCCGGAGGCTCGTCCCGGCCGCGGCCGGGAGCCCCACGACCCCCCGCCATTGCAACGCCGGGGCCACAACAGGGCGGCCCCGCGGTGGCGGTGGCGGTGGCGGCGGCGGGCCGGGGCGGGCTTCGGGGAGGGGGGCCGCGGAGCGGAGCGGCCCGTGGGCAGGGCCCCACGTTGTGGGAGGGCTGTGCGGCCAATGGGCGGGGCACGTGTCGGGGGCGGGGCATCGTATCAGGGGCGGGGCATAATGTCAGGGACAGGGCGCCGTATCGGGGGCGGGGCTCCGTGTCAGGGGCGGGGCGCCGTCTCGGGGGCGGGGCTCCGTGTCAGGGGCGGGGCGCCGTCTCGGGGGCGGAGCGCCGCGCGGGGAGCAGGTTTAGCAGCTAGAGGAGCTGGACTAGGGAACGAGGCCTTGCCAAGTCTTTTGCCCACATAATGCGAGAGAACCAGAGCAAAGGAGTCTGCAGGAACGTGGACGATCAAATCAATCAGAATGGAATGATAAACTCAAATGGTATGGCTTTCACGAAATAAGTTCCTTTAACAGAAACGCCTGCTGGAATTTACCCTGGTTTGGGTCGTGGCAGGAAAGTCTTTGATGGGTTTTCATGTCACCGGCTCACCCAGAACTTTCCCAGAAGTCTATCTACCAGGAGTAAAAGTCATGACTATTGCTCCCTCTCCCCCAGTTTTGTACCCCTTCAACCCATCTTCTTGAGCTGTAGATACAACATCCTATGTATGTCCTCTGTCCCTATAGTTCCACCTTTAAGGATCTCTTAGTTGCAATTTCAACTGAAAATACCTTTCCACTCAGGCATCTTCATAACCTACAGTTTCATGAAAAAGAATTATGTTCCATGCCCAATAGTGTGAATTTAGGGATCTTTCTGCCTCCAATAATATTTTTTCGAGTTTATAAAATTATCTATCTCGATATTGCTATTGTACTTCAGCTTTAGTCACTTAATAAGGCTGCATGTCAGTTTAGAATAATCATATTACCCCTTTTCTGTTTGCTAATTAATGATTATTTGGGTATCTTGCTGTTATTTATCCATTCAGTTTTGGCTGGGTAACACAAATGAACTAATTTGACTCCAGGCCTCCTCAAAACATCTTCTCTTTATGGACCTGTTCTTTTTCCAGTGATCATATGTAGATAAATGGCACCCCCTGCTGAACATCAGCTCAAGCCCACTAAGTGTAATACTGGATTCCCTTTTTCTCAACTCCTACTTCCAGATAGTCACCCTTTCTTCAAACCACCACTTCACTCTACCCCACTGCCACTAACTTAGTTCAGGCCATCATCATCTCTTCCATAGTAGACTTCATTGGCTTGAAAAACAGTCAGTCGGACATCCCCCCAGGGCTACTGGACAGTAAGAGGGCACAGGCAGGGCTGAGGGACCATCCCCCCTCCCCCGAGTGCACGAATTTCATGCATCAGGCGTCTAGTGTAATAATAATATAGTTGAATCTCAGAATAATTTTGCTGAGTGAAATAAGCCAGAAGAGTACATACTTCATTTATATAAAATTCTAAAAAATATGAATTTAGTAACAGAAGATAAGTGATTGCCTGTGGTAGGGATGAGCTAGAGGGAGGGATTCCAGAGGGACAAGAAGAATTGCTTCAGTTTGATGGATATGTTCATTATCTTGATGGTGGTGATGATTTACCAAATTATACAATATGAATATATGCAATTTATTAATGTCAATTTTAACTTAATAAGCTATTAAAAGAAAATAGATTGTTGTTTTACAATGGTGTATTTAAATCAGGATCCAAACAAGGTCCATAATTGAATTTGGTTGCCCTATGTAAAATAAAACATTAAGTCAGCAGGCTTGTAATATACAAACTGTTCGTTTCAAACAAAAGACTGGCCTTTAATCAATTCCTGGGAGATAAACTCTAACCCCTTGGAGCATCTGGCCTGATTATAGTGTCATTGCATAAGTGGAGTCCACAGTTTGTCAGGATACCCCAAGATTTCCTTATTTTCCAAGTCTACTCTAAACCATTAGTTCAGTTCTCCAAGTAAGAGTCTCTACCTTGCTGAAACCGGTTTGGCTCGGTGGATGGAGCATCGCCTGCAGACTGAAAGGTCCCAAATTCGATTCCAGTCAAGGGCATGTACATTGGTTGCACTACATCCCCAGTGAGGGGCATGCAGGAGGCAGCCAATCAATGTTTCTCTCTCATTGGTGTTTCTGGCACTCTAACTCTTTCCCTTCCTATCTGTAAAAAAACAATAAAATATATTAACAACAACAAAAAAAGTCTCTACCTCTCCATGACCTCCCTGCTCTCCCAAAATATATCTCTCGGTCTTGCTCTTTACTCTCAACTTCCTGAGAGAAAACTCCCACATTGTTTGGCTACTGGATGCTAAATTTCAAAAACCACAATCGTTTTCTCCTTCATTTGTAAAGGATATTTTTATTGGATGTAGAATTCTAGGTCAGCGGGTCTTTTTCCTTTTATTTATTTTATAAAACGTTTTTAATTGATTTCTAGAAAGGAAGGGCGAGGGAGAGAGAAACATCGATGTGAGAATGGAGCATTGATTGGCTGCCTCCTGCATGCCCAAATCCCTGGCCTGTGCCCTGCCTGAACCAGCAACCTTTCAGTGCACAGGACCTACTGAGCCATATGGGCCAGGGCATAGATAAGAGGGCACAGGCTGGGCTGAGGGACCATCAGTGCTTGAAAAATGTTGTGCCACTTCTGGCCTACAGGGTTTCAGTGAGAAATCTGCAGTCATTCACATTGTGGTGTGGCATTTCTCTTTGGCTGATATCAAGATTTAAAAAAATTTTTTTTTTTTGGTCTTAGTGTCCAGAACTCTATGGTGTGTATAGGTGTGGAATCCAATTAGGATTCACTCAGCTTCTTGAATATTTTTTAGATTTTTACAAATATGAGAGTTTTTTAGCCATCACTTTTATGAATACTAGTTTCTGTCCTGCCCTCTTTCTCCTCTCCTTCTAGGAGGTAAAGGTACTTGTTCTTACAGTTTTCTATGGCCTGGTAGCCAGATGTAGGAGTGGTAATACAGCTCTTCATGCTCAAGAAAGTATGAAATAAAAACTACTTAGTGACTTTTGCATCACTTGAGAGAAACATCGACCAACTACCTCTTGCACACCCCCCACCGGGGATGTGCCTGCAACCAACGTACATGCCCTTGACTGAAATCGAACCTGGGACCTTTCTGTTCACAGACCGACGCTCTACCACTGAGCCAAACCGGTTTCGGCCATATCTCATCTTTTATCAAAGAAGATACTATCTTGACCACTTAATTGGTCCCAGATAACTTTTGGCTCTCTCAAAAATAATCAAATTTGTTTTTAAAGGACATGTTTGTTATGATCAGGGATACAAAAAAGGATGTGCCAGCTTCTGAAGTTAACTGTAAAAAAGAAGTACTAAAAATGTGTTGCAAAATCATGATATTCTTCAACAGCTAAACAGCTTCCTCAGGTGACTCCTTTAAAGGCGAATACACATGGATATTCTAGTTTTGGCATATTTACTATTAAAAAAAAAACTAGTCAGGTTGCTTTATGGTCATTATGTGTATATGTGCATGTGTATGTGTCTCTGTGTGTGAGACTATTGAGGCTATATGGTTATTCATCCTTCCACCTCCCTGATATTTTGATGAATTTAATAGCAGTCTATAGGTGTGAGGACTATTACAAATTGGGACACTGGATTAGGAGATATATTCATAGATTCATATCATTAGGAAACCATTTCACAGTCCATACATTGAGATAATTTGGAATATGGGACGGTCTGTATTAGTGACCTTTGAACAGATAATTGCTTTGATGGTAATTTAACATACCAAAAAGTTAAAACCCTAAAGTGAACATATTTAGCCCAATAATGCAAAGACTAAATTCTGGACTTCTAACTCTTAGAGCAAAATTTTCCAAAAGTCATTCTGTCCTTTGCTAATTGCAAATAAAATAATTCTTTAAAATTTTTTTTTTAAATACAAGGCTTGTTTGGCAGTATTTTATTTAAATCCATAAAGAGAATTATTTAAAATGCTGAAAGTTGATACTTTAACCCCCTTTGATATTTGTTTTAAGCATTAATACATAGGAATCGTATCACCATTGATTGATTTCCTACAATGTGCCAGAACTTTTAGAGGTTTTCATTAATTAGGTATTTTATTGTCTTTAAATCAACCTTACAAAATAGACATTTTAATCTCTATTTGGTAGAATAAATTGAGCTTAGACAGGTCATATAACTGCCCAGGGGAACAAATGGAAATAGTAGAGCAGGCATTCAAACCCAGGTCCAACTGACACCAATACCCATTGCCCCACTATACTAGATTGTTTTCTTGAGGGAGTTGATAGATTTGCCTATGTAAAGAGACAATCTGGGTTTCCAGGAAAAAAAAGAAATGAGTTATTACCTATATTAAGCTTACATACTCTCCATAAACTTACCAGTGACCAGTATGTTTTTGGACATGACAAAACCCAAATAGCTTAATTCAAAGATTCCCCGGAGGCTCTATTATCACCTATCATTTTTGTCTTACAAGGATCTAGATATCCTTATTACCATTACAAATATACAGAGAGCTTTTTTTGAAGTCCTGACTCAGCTTCTATTCCTCAGAAATAAAGACTGCACTTTCTTTCTGAGCTATATCTGCCAGAATAGGCTGTATTATGCTGTGATAATAAGCAGCTCCAAAAATCTTGGTTGTTTAGGTGCATTTCTTGCTCATACACAATTTGTTGTAGGTGGCTCAGTTGATTAGAGCATTGTTTCTATGCCAAGGTTGCAAGTTCAATCTCTGGCCAAGCCACATACAAAAAACAACCAATGAAAGCATATATAAGTGGAACAACAAAACAATGTTTGTTTGTTTGTTTGTTTGTTTCTCTCCCTCCCTTCCTCTGTCTCTCTAAATCAATGCAATAAGAAAAAAATTATTGTGGGTCAGGGTGGCTCTCTAGGGCATCTGCCTGTGCTGTCCCCCTCTTCACCTTGAATATGGTG